AAGTTTTTTTTAAAAAAAAATAAAAAAACATAATTAAAAATAGCATTGAAAATAAAACACCCAACAAAGACGAATAAATTCAATCAACATATATCCTGAACTATAAGAGTAAAACAAAAGATAAAAAACAAATGAGTAAATAACGACGTTTAGCAAAATAATTAAATTATCATTATTATCATTACTTTTTTCTCCACTTTTACTATATATATAGTTTTTCCTCGTTAAAATTGTAAAAAAAAATTCTGACACTAAGCCATTTACTCTAGAGCTCAACAACAATCTTCCCTTGATTTTTCCGACTATACATATAGTCTATTGCGTCCGGAACTGACCTGAGTCCTTTAAATACGAAAGGATCTATACAACTTTTAATAATTCCGGAACTGTATAAATCACAGAGTGTTGCAAAATGTCGAGAAGCATACTTGCTATAATGTGGCAAGAAGAAAGTATGCAAAGTTGCACTTTTGGACAAAAGTCTTGTTTGTAAGGGTGTATCTGTTGAAGAACGCTTCATCCAGGTACTTCCATCGCTGTATCCAGATATACCTCCAATTGAAAGTATGCGGCCGCGAAGAGAAAGGTTCTGTACGATCGATTCAAACGTCTCCCCACCAACAGATTCATAAGCAAGATTCACCCCGGTAGGAGATATTCGTTTTATTCCCTCAGCAATGGTTTCCCGTTCTTGAACAATCACACAATCGCAACCAAGCTCCTTCAAAAAGATTTCCTTGGCCACAGATGAGGTCACTCCAATAACACGACAGTGATACACCTTTTTTAGGAGTTGTACGGCAAATTGGCCTGTTCCACCGCTAGCTGCTGTTACAATTGCCACCTCCCCTGGCAACGGCTTCGCAATCTCTTCTAAAGAAATGGAAGCCGTTGTACCACTAAGGTCAAGCGGAAGCCACTCTTTTTTCCTCGAAGGGACCTTCTTAGCTTGCCGTGAAGAAACCACTTGATACTCCGCGAAAGCCCCATAAGCCTGCGTCACGACAACATCTCCCACTGTAAAACCCTTAACTTTTTCCCCCGTAGCCAAAACCTCTCCAAGCGCTTCAAACCCGCACTCAAAAGGCGGCTTGGCGTCCGGCCTGTAGCGACCCGCCGTAAAATTAATGTCGCTGGCATTGATGCCTACAAACAGATTTTTAACGAAAATTTCTGTCGGCCGGACGGCCGCGGGGAGAGGGGCGGAAAGTATCTCGGCCACCTTTCTAAAATCAGAGGAAAGCCCCGTCGCCACTATCCTCGCGCACGACGCCGGAAGCGCCATGACTCCCTTAAACCTAAATAGTACCCTAAAAAAAGAAAAGAAAAATGCAGGAGCGCGGTTGAAACGGGAAAGCGCCTGCTCAGCAAGGCCGGGCTTGGGCTCGGCGGCCGGCGGGGGCGCCCCCTCTCCCCCCCGAGCGGGGGCGGGGGGCGCGGGGCGGGGACCCCGCTGAGAACGCGGGTGGGCCCCCGCCGCCCCCTTTTTTTTGGCCGCCTGCTTATATTCCTTGCAGCCCGCCCATGTCTGTGGTGGCGGGCGGCGTCCCTTCGACTGGGGGGGGGCAAAAAAAAAAAAAGGGGCGACGCGCGGCTTCTTCTTGCAACGGGCGGGGGGGGGGATGGCAGGGGCGGCCACGGGTGGGGGGCAAGAAGAACCCTACTACAAAAAAAAAACAAAGGACGGGCGCCACCGCGAACAAGGAGGCAGCGGGCCACGCCTCACAAGCGGTCGAACTCTTCTCTCGCGATGCCGCGGGGGCCGGCGATTACCCAGTTTTCCGGTGGCCCCTCGCTCTCGCGCATCGCAGGGCGCGGGGCGCGCTCGTGGCTGCGCCCGCTTCCGTCGATGGGCACCAGGTCTGTTCTCAGTGCGGCGCCCGCCTCCCGCGGCGCGCCGAGGGATGGAGGCCAGGGGCGGGCTCCGTTCTGGGGCCGCGCTTGCCGAGCCTGTCGCTGCCGGCGGCCCTGGGGGTCCCCCGCCGTGATCCAGGCTGGTTTCCACCGAGGTTCGCGTGGGTGAAGGTTTTGCTTCGAGACGCCGGCTGGGGCGGAGAGGCGCCCCCCCCATCCCCGCCCGCTCCCTCGAGAAGCGCACTCCTCTATTTCTTGATTTCCAGTGTTGCAGCTGCTCTTCTAGTGCCTGGGCGCTGCAAACGTCATGCGAAGCCCCGGTGCGGCGTGCCTTTTGGGTGGCGGCGGCGCCCGGGCGGGGGCCCGCCCACGCCATTTTTCCTGCACTGGAATTGAGAAGGCGATCGGTATGGGTCGCCAGCCGTCGCGATGACGCTGTTTGTCGTTTCAAGTAACTTTCCAGGAGTTCTTGCTCAGCCTCCGTTATGCTAAAATGAGGTTGCGGTGGGGCGTGGGAAAAGCTCCTGCAGGCGGTTGGGCCCAGGCCCCTTGTCGGTGGCAGTTGCTGTGGCGCCGCGCGCGTGATGTGAGGAATGGCGGGCTGCAGTAACACTTCGGGCGGTGTCTGCGCGGCCCTGAGAAGTGCCAAAGAAGGCTGCGGCACCGCGCCTTTGACTGGCCAAGAGGTGGCTTGATTCATGATCGCGGTGGGCTCGTGACGGCGGAGGTCCAGCAGATTCACTCCTTTTTCAGCCGACATAATCATGCGGTTCATTTCACGAAGTGCGCTGTAGTAAAGGAAAACATATTGATCTTTACGCTGCACCATCCCAGTGCGACACAATTTCAAAACGTGAACAATCCTCTGTATGTTCAAGTCTCTCCGCTCAAGTTGAAATTGGGCGAGCGCCACGTGCAGAGCAATAAAAACTCCCGTGCGGCCGATGCCACCAGAGCAATGCACAACAACCGGATTCTGTACACTGAGCTCCGATTTTCCCATCGTTTGAATGATTCCCATGAGCGGGGCACTTGTGGCAGGGATGTTTTGATCCGGCCAGCCCGTGTATTGCATGTGGTACACCTCATGCTCTTCTCCGTGCAAACCGCGTAGCAGAAACGAACGAAACACCAAGTCTGAGAATCGTCTTTCGCTCAGTGATTTTATCTGCAACACGCCGAAGTCCAGCCCACCCCCTTCCCTCGGCCAATACACCTCACTCTTTACTTTTCCATCCTCCAGCTCCCCACAAAGCATAACAATAAAGGCCACATCATTTTCAAACACCATGCGCCAAAAATCAAGGGTAGTGTTCGCAAGCGGAGCCTGCGTTGCGATATAGGTAAAAGGAACATCAAACAGCACCCGCCCATCCACGTAGTTGGCGTTGATGTACGAGCCATGGCTGTCCTCTAACATCGGACGAAGACGCACGCGGGTTCCCTCATTCGCCCGCACCTCGACAAAGCGATTTTTAGCCACACTCGTCGCGAGTGAAGCGGTGTAGAACTCATCAACGTTACTCCGCACACGGTGATCAACGATGCGGAGTTCATCCATCTCCACATCAAATCCATCCCGATTGTTGGACGAATGAGATATAGAGAGCTGACGAAGATGCGCGAGAAACGCCGTCGCAATCTCCCGCTGATCTCGACTCATTGAATTGCAATGTGCTGTGGAATCAGCCTAACCACGTATCTCTAATCTACAAATAAAGTTTTATTTGTAAGTAGTTATATGTTTACGATAGACACTTACCTCCTCCCACGCCCAACGTTCACAGGAGCCAGCGGATAGAAGGGGGAGTGACAAAAAAAAAAAAAAGCCAAACTAACAGCAAACAGACAAAAAGGGGATGGAAGCATATTACAGTAAAAATGTGTGTAATGTATATGGGCATATATACGTGTATGTCAGCACAAATGCGAATACATTTGTGGAGGCGCGTACGATGAACGGAGGAAAAAAAAGGGGGGGGGATAAAAAGCGTTGCCGCAACCACATCTCACGTACAAGCCCGGGATGTCTCCCATTAGTCAATTCAGGCAGCATATTTTTCAATACAACAAAAGTAAAAAAAAACTCTTTTTTTTTCTTCTTTTTATTTAAATCTCTTTTTTTTTCCATCTTTTCTTTCTGGGATCTTTTTTACCTCCCCCCATTTCGTCTGTGAAGGCCATTTTGTGCTCGCATGTGTGAAATGCGATGCGACTCCTCCATGGGAAGCGTAGAAGAGAACCGCTGCTTTTTTCCCATATACATTTTATTTTATTCTTCGGTGCCTATCGCTTCCTCTTCTTGTCGGTTCATTTCCTCCTCTTCTCTTCCTTCAGCCAGTCTTCCCACCATCTCGCAACACTCCAGCATGCGCCTACCCGCTCCCTGTGTGGGGCAAGCAACCATGAGCCCGCAATCCACGGCAGGGCATTCCTCTGGTTACGATGCAGCCGCAATTGCCGCTGGAAAAATGAAAGCAAATAACAGGAAAAATGAAAGCAAATAACAGGAAAAAACAAAACAAAACAATTCAGACGAAGGCCAATGCATATATGCTATTACTTCGAGATTGAAATTATACATATGCGAATGGGGCGGCCATAAACCTTTTTCTCTCTTCTGCTCACAGTTTCTTACATAACCTCCACCACTCTTTTCCGCTCCTGTCATTCTTTTCAATGCATCTGAGGAGTGCGCCTCCTCCGACATGAACCACAACCCATCTAGAAGAGTTGTGTTGTTGCTCGCCACGTCGCATCGACTTTAGAAGAATCTACGTACAACGTTCCAGCTCTGACGGGAATTATCCAGCAATCTCCCGCACAAACAGGCTAATGAAGCGGCAGAGGCAGATGACTAAAAAAAAAAAAAAAACGGGATTCTCGTCGTGTGATCGCAAAGTGGCGGTATTTACGATCCCGCAACCGCTGCACCCCACCTCCGCGTGAAAGTTATTGACAATGCTTGTGGCCGAAAATTGAAGCAGGATGACGGAAATAACAGACACTGCTTTCACGCCGCTTTCCAATGCGGCATCTTTGGAAGCAGGCAAAAAAAACAAAAAATACGAGTAAAAAAAGAAAAATGGAGCTATTAAACTCAACACAACCAATTTACCCCCGCCTGGTCGCACATTCCTTGAAGAGCCCCCCAAAAGAACATGCATACATATATATATGGACAAAGCAATGCACTGCACCCTTCTTTTGCCCTTGCCAGGATTTTAAAATTTTTTTTTAATGCGTCTAGAGTCGTGTGCGCATGTGGCAGAGTCTCACGACACGTCACCTGAAGGGGCACCGACCATCGGAGGCAGAGAGAGCAAGAAGCAGGCAAGCAGCATTGTTTTTTTTTTTTGTTTCTGACACTTTTTATGTCCTTGTTAATATAAACGTGACTTTCACACACAGATACAGACACAAAAACACGTGGCTTAGCACCATTTGCTCCTGGTGCTCCCCTCTCAGTTAGTTCTATGTCAAGCGCTGCAACCAAAACAGCGGCAAAGAGAGAAGAGGTCCTGGGTTGCAGGTGACACACAGGCACACATATACACACGTATACGTGCATACGCGCAGGAGAGATGCGGTTGTCATACACTTCAGCAGACCGCGTTGTCCTGCTACTACTCTTCTTTAGGCGCGCCTTTTGCCTCCGCAGAAGAGGTCTCTTCTGTTTTGCCGCTGTGACGGGGAATATATCCCCTCTCTGCCCCCTTTTCAAGGGTCTCAGAGGTAAAGGTTTGTTTGGATTCCATTATCTTCAGCCTGGCAACGGCCTTCTGCCGGGCACGTTCGCGTGAAACTTCCTCCGTTGCCAGCGAGCGCCACACGCGGTCCTCGCTGAGATCGCCAATGAATGTGGTGTCGCGGCCAAATATGGTGCTTCCCGTCCAGTTTACCAGCACGTATAATTTATTCCTCCACGACCCCAGGATACTGAGGTAGGCACTGCGCCAGAAAAAGAGGGCCTTTAGACCAACAAAGTCAACTTTGCCTGGTACATGTAATTCAACAACGGCAGCACTATCGCCCAGGCTCACCATGGTGCCTAGACTCTTGTACGCAAACGGTTTTGTCACGGGTTTGTTTGATAGTTCCCCATTCACCTGCTTTGCAAGGTAGAGACCCTGCCGAGAGGCCACGGCGGCCAGTGTGGGCAAGGGAAGCTGCTCATTTGCGGCACAATCCCCAATGGCGTATACATCCGGAATAGGTACCCCTTTGCGAAGCACCCGCAAATGATCATCAATAGAAATGCGACCACGCGATGTACGGTCTACGTCCAAGTCCTTGGTCAGTGCACAAGGACCAACGCCGGTGCTCCAGACCACCAGCCCGGTACGGATCACGGTGCCATCCTTTGTGATCACCTCCTTATCATTTACGGCCACCACGGCACCCTTTATGATCTGCACGCCAATCGCATCCAGTCGACGTTTCCCCCAATTTCGCACCCGCAGATCAAACATGCCAAATACCTCGCCCGCCTCAAGCACGGTAACCTTGCATAGATCGACAAGAGTGCGGTTGATTTTGCGTACATCAGAGCGGAAGAACTCGGCCACACTAGCGGCAAATTCAACACCTGTAGGACCTCCACCAACAACAACAACATGTAGCAGACGCTTAACCTCCTCCATATCAGTGATAGGCAAGTCTGCCACCATGATATTTTGAACCAGACGCTTGCGAATAGCGCGAGCCTCATTAACCTCTCGAAGGAAGAAAGCATTGTCGAAAACACCTGGCACATTGAAGGTGTTTGGCCTTGCACCATGCGCCAAGATAAGCTTGTCGTATTTAACCCTAAACGGATGCACGGCTGCTTTGAAGTTAGAGTCAACAACACCAACACCAACGCAGTTTACCTCTTTTTCTACAAAGTCAACACCATGGACCACGCAGCGGTAAAAACGATTGGGCAATTGGGCGAGAGCAGGTTGAATGCGTGAGATAGGTTCGCACACTGCTCGAAATTCCAACGTTCCTGTTGTGGTTTGGGGGAGAAGCGGGGTAAACACATGATGATTTCGTATGGAAAGAACTTCCAGGTTTGCCAACTTAGGATTTACATGCTTTGTGAAGTACGCGCCGGCCCATCCGGTGCCAACCACCACCACATTGGGGCGAAGCATAGTGTGTGTGAGGCGCAGCATTTCCGCCTTGCTTAAAGAGAAGAAGATATAGAGGGGTCGTGTGTGTGTGTGTGTATGTATGTATGTGTATGTGTGTGTGTGGGTGGGTGGGGGGGCAACAAAAAGAGTCACAACGCAAAGCCTTAGTGTCTCTGTGAGGAAAATTTGTACACAGTGGCTTTTGGGTGCTAAGGAGGAATATAGTAGACAAAAACAAAACACGGTGTGCGACACACGCACGCACACAAACACATAGCAGAGAGGCGCTCACCAACAGCAATAAAAGAGGAGGAGCAAGCCATGGTGGGGGAGGGAGATAACAATATATATATATATATGTATATATATATTTTAACAATATAAAATCAAAGAAAAACGGCATCGTAGTGGATCGAGAATGGCACTCCTCGCCATCCACACAAGCCTCAGTCTGGCTTCTACGCCACATCCGCCCTCTTTATTCGGTTGTTGTTTCAGTTCTCGGAGTCTTTTTCTGCTCCTTTCTGTGTGCACCTCTGTTTGTCATCAGTGTTCCTCCTTTCCTCTTTTTTTTTTGCTCTCATACTTTGCAGGCTTTTCTTTTGTTTTGGCTGAAAAGGAAGGAGGGGAAATGAAGACATGAAGCAAACAAGAAGAACAACCATGCCAAAAAAAAAAAAAGGGACTCCCTACTGCATTCTGAATAAGAGCGCGCAGACAAATGGGAGAAAAGCACCAAGTGTGTCTACTGCGCGTTATATGCAAACAAACATCAATCGTACCAAACTGCGGAATAAAAACAAGTTGGGGAGACGAAAACTATGAAGCTTGAGCCCTCTTCCACTCCTTCTCCTTGACCGCAGCTCCCTTGTTGGACTACCGCCTATTTTTTTTGTTTTTCATGGTTGCTGCTCCAACCACACCAATTTTTTTTTTCCTTATGCCCCACTGCTTAAATAGCTCTCAATTTCTCTTCAGAGCAGATTATTTTTTTTTTTTGCTTCACTGTTTGTGCCCCTCCAAACCTTCCTCCGTTCCCTATTGCCGTTCGTTAAATTCCATGGAGGAGTGGCACAACTCATTGTGTATGCAACGCCTTTCCTGGAGAATTATCAGCACTGTTTGGCGTCTTGGGATACATGCAACTCCGCTTCTTGAGCGAGCGTACCCCGATTTGGGGCCAGTCGCCCTCCTCCACCAACGCGTCGACCGAGATGAGGTCTGGGTTGTGACGCTGCGGCACGGGATGTTCGCCGACGTTTTCGATGCTCTGATCCGAATGAATACGGTAGATAGCTTCGGCAAGGAGTTTGGCGATGGATATAATTTTTAGTTTGGAGCACTTCCGCACGCTCTCGTCCTGGGGAAGGCTGTCAGTTACAACAACCTCCACCAGCGCATCGCATGCGTTGAGACGCTCGCAAGCAGGGTCCGTGAGAATGCCATGCGTCGCCCAGGCATGTACTTCCTTTGCACCATTCTCTCTCAGGACTTCTGCCGCTTTGCACAACGTCCCAGCGGTGTCAATCATGTCGTCCACAATGATGCAGGTGCAACCATCTACCTCACCAACGAGCTGCATGCTGTCGACGTGATTGGCCTCCACCCGACGCTTAAGAATGGTGACAATGCGACTTGCGCCAAGGCGATCTCCCATGCGTCGTGCGCGGGTTACTGCACCTGCGTCTGGGGCGACGATGACAAGGTTATTGGTGTTAAACGCCTTCTGCTTTGAATACTCCGCAAACTCGGATGTGGCACTAAGGTCAGACACCGGACAACCATGAAAAAAACCCTGAATTTGACCACAGTGCAGATCCATCGTGACAACGCCGTTTACACCTAGTTCTGTGATCATACGAGCCACGGCAGATGCACTGATGGGAACTCGGGAAGTATGTTTACGGTCCTGTCGAGCATAGCCGTAATGCGGGATTACCGCAATCACACGTTTTGCGGAGCTGAGCTTTAGTGTGTGGATAATAAGAAGAAGCTCCATCACGGCCTGATTTACGTTGATGACTCCATTACCACATGTAGGTTGAACCACAAATACGTCGTCTCCACGCATCGACTCAAGAATTTTGACATTTATTTCACCGTTGGAAAATGCTCCAACGCGACAGGATGTAACGGGGACACGAAGTGCCTTACAGATTCCTTCAGCCAACTTTGGATTACTGTTACCATTTACGATACGAATGTTTCCATTACGGTTATTAGCACCATACGAAAGGTACTGTTCACAGTGCGACATACAAGTGCAGCGTCTCACGTTTTTTTTTCTCACTTCCTTAAATAAATTTAAAGCCTTGCTGTTGCTGTTGTTTCTGTCGTTCTTGCCTCTTACCACGGCGGAGTAAAAAGAAAAAGAAAAAAAACATTCAAACAGAAAATCCGTGCACAGTGGGAGGAGAAAGGCAACCTGAAACACGCCCTCAGTTCATCGCACCTTCACCGCGTCACGAGTGACAGCAATGTGGTGGTCCATTCTCTCTCACGCACACACAAACAAAACAACAACTGCAACACATATTGCACAATTAAAGAGCCGCAACCAACAATAAGGTTGGGGGAGGAAAAATAATAATGATAAAACTGATAACAAAGCCCGTTGCGATACTTCCGTAAATCAATGTGAAAGTTCATTATTGTAGATGAAGGAGAGGAGCTCATTCTGTACCTATGCAGGGCTGGTGGGTGCCGCCGTGTGTGAGCCCTCGTGTTTCCAAAGCGCGAAGACGCTTTGCAACGAGGGCTCTGCCAACTTTGAGTGAAACGATTGCATCATCTCCTTCATACTATCAGAGTCAAGAGGAACAAACGAGGCGCGCCGATCAATGCAACCGGGCCTTAGGAGCGCATCACGCGATGACAGACGCGAGGCATCATTGGCTGTTATAATGAGCAGCCTTCCCTCACTACTTGCAATGCCGTCCATGGCGTTTAGCAACGCGCTCAGGGACACGCCAGCATCCCGTCCCCCTCCAACCTCCGTAGAGAGCGTATTCTGTAGTGAAGAGGAGGTAGTCGATAAGGTTTTAATAGCGGTTTCCAGATCCTCAATGACGAGCAAACTTTTGGGTGGCACGGAATTGATAAGCCCAATGAGCAAGGCATCATCCAACTCCTTAGATTGTAGCGAAAGGAGATAAATAGGGAGATAGAACTCACTCGCCAAACCAAGAATACAACTTCTTTTCCCTGTCCCAGGAGCTCCCTCAAAAAGATACCCACAACGCCAAGGGACACCAAGCGACATGTAAAGCTCCCTCGATCGAAGGAAGAGTTTGGCCTCCTCAACCATCGCCATTGTAGTGCGAGGGAGGTTAAGTGTAGATAGTGGACGCCGAAGTCGCTTCGCCAGGAACTCCCACCTAGTGTCCCAGCCATTTGGCAAGTAAAGGCGAACGGTGCATTTTGACTGCTCCTCCCAAGAGGCTCGCACCTCCTCCATAAACGTGTGTACCACATTTCTATCACGTGAAAAGAAAACGAGCTGCAATACCTCATCCTCCCGGCCCATGCTTGAGGCGGATTTGTACTGCTTCGAGTTGTCGATAGATCGTGTGATCCAGAGCCTTGTATTGCCAAATTTCATGTAATGACTCCCAAAACCAGGAACGAAGTCGCTTCCAAAAGCAGCTTCACCACGCTTAGCCTCTTCTTCTGAGACCTCATCACGGATGGAAATGGGCATGAGAGAGATGTTTCGCGCCCTTTTTCCATGCGGTTAGCGACCCATCCAGTCCAGAATCATGGCAAACTCCTCGCGGGAGGAGCGAACCTCAAGCGTGACAAAAAGGATTTCCTTCAACTTTCTGGTTATATTTTCCTTTTGTGAATTAAGCGTCTCCCAGAGGGCTGTTAAAATAAGTATCATCAACGCTAGTGAAGCGGTGTTCGCGGTTTTAAAAAATCCATCTTGGATGGGCATCAGTCTGCCCCATGCTTTGGTGAGTTCCGGCCCCGTGCCCCCGCCAGCGAAGCCAGTGCTATCCGCTTTCAAAAAGGAAATCGCTATTCCACGACGATGAGGTTGTCTTTCTCTTCCTCCTCCTCTCTGCCTTGCTCTATGGACATGGAAGTCACACAAGCTGCACGATTTCGCTGGCGTCCTCTCCAGATGGCAAACACACCAGTGGGTAATGTCAGCAATGCCTGAGGATCAGGTAGGTAGCTCCGGCGCATGGCGAGAATTTCGCCGTGCACTGCCGAAGGAAGACACATGGAGCCGAGGCCCAACACCGAGAGTGAGATGCCGCCGCATGACATTTTTTTTCACTCCTCCACCCCTCTCTGTCGGCTTTCCACCCTCACTCACAACCACACACAAAAAAAAAGAGAGGGAAAGGTAGGAAAACCCCACCAAAGGCAAACGAAAATTATCCAGAAGCAACCAAAGAAGGACATGTCTTTACCAAAACATTTTTCAAGGTACTTCATATTACTCCTCTTGACTATCTTATCCCTCCACACACCTTAGATGTTTGTTCGACCACCTTTTGCATTTCTTTATTTTTTGTTGTCGTTGCTACGCATACAAGCTCACTTGTACGCAAACAAACAACACACCTCCCTCACTCTCTCTCTCTCTACACACACACACATTGATGCTTTAGACCTCAATAATACTGTATCCATCCTGAAGCTTCACCGGTGGAACATCATCACCACGGCGCGCCAGAACGGTTCCAATCACCCATGCTGGTTCACCGTCGACTTCGCCAAGTTCTTTTATGTATCGCTCTGCTGCGCTAACATCACCAAATGCTACAAGTAACCCTCCGCTGGTTTCTGCGGAATACCCTTTGAGCAGTTTATATTTGTCCGACATAAGTTTCGATGCCTTTACGGCCCCCTTGTAAATGGGAAGTTTCTCCAATACGAGGCACACTTCTTTCTCCTGTGCCACCGCAAGGTTATGGGCGTGTCCAACAATACCAAACCCCGTGACATCAGTAGCACCATGAGCACCGTGTTGTCGCATCAGTCTGGCCGCATTGCGATTCAAACGTTTCATGCCATCCGTTGCTGCATTATAAAGTTCTTCCACTTCTTCAGTGGTCATCTTCCCTTGTATGGTATCCAAAAAAATTGGTGATGGACGACGCAGCCACTGCTTAAGATTCACTGCGACCTGACATCCAAGAGGTTTTGTCAGCACTAGCACGTCCCCAGGGCACAGTCCAGTTGGTCGCACCATTTCCGACTCCGTCACAACACTTGTCGCAACGCCGCCAATGAGGGGCCAGGGATTCATGACAGTTTGCCCACCGGTCACATCCGATTCTGCCAGACGGACATGATCAACAAACCCCTTCATCATTTCACGCGTGGTTACTTCACGCTCTGCAGCATCCATGTCTGTGCTTGCAGCCAACATCATCAGAACGGTGTCACAACGGTCAATCCCCATGCTATACAAGTCAGAAAGAACATTGGCGGCCCCAATTTGTCCCTGCAAGTAGGGATCCTCAACACTGGGGAAAAAGAAATCGGTTGTGGAGACCATAAACAGTGGATTTCCAAGCTCATCTTTCTTGGAAAGTTGTACGACGCTGCAATCCATACCAACATCTTTCTGTCCTGGCGTCGTGGAGACAGCGCGGAGTAGGGCGAGCAGCTTGGGCTGCGGCAGTTTGCAACTACAACCCTTGAGGCGTGTGTAATCCGTGAGCGCAAACTCCGACGGCAGACCAATTTTGATGGGGTTAAAGCTAGACGCGTTTACACCATGTTGTTGATGCATTCCTTCTTGTTCTTGTTGTTGTTGTTGTTGTTTTGCTTGCTTTCAACTGTAATGCTTTTGCTGTGTGCTCTCTTCTTCCTCCGTCACCGACTACTCCTTCCTTGGCGTGCCGTGGCAAAATGTCCCCAAACACTGGGAGAACGAAAAAGAGAGACGCTTACCAGAAACCACGCAAAGAACCAAACGAGAGAGATGCATAAGTAAATACCACACAGCAAACGCCTAACCTTCACAAAACGTGTTTTGAGAATTGGTGAATTGCGATGGAAAGACGGTTACTCCTCATCGTGAATGTTATAGAAGCCACACCTTCCCCTTCAGTTGCATTTCAGCAGAAATTAAAGTTCATCCAAGAAGGCCTGCACATCCTCGTCCAGTTGTTCCTCACGCTCCCGCTTCTCGCCAGCTTTCGGAGCTCCATCATTATTCTTCTCAATGGAGGAGACCCATGTACGTGGATCATACCGACCCTCTATCTGCGCCATACGCTTCCTATTGTTCTCGCGGAACTCCTGCGCCTCGGGATCATCAGACAAAATCCACTCAATGTGCTCCATCGCGTGCTGTAAGGCCTGTTCATTGGGAGCCGTAATACAAGCATGCGGTTCCTCAAGTGCGATGCGTGCGGCGTTGGTGCTGGTATCCTTTAATGTATTAGTAATGCCACGCCCAGCAAGCACAATCTTGCACTTTGTCTTTTGCTCCAGCTCTTGGTGCACCAAACCACGGGCACCCAAAATGGCACCGTAGGCGCCACTGTCCATCTCTTCCTGTGAAAAGTAGCGCTTCCGCACAATCTCCTTTGGCGCCGTCGGGTGTGGCCCCATCTCGGCGTGTTGTCGAAGAATATTTGTCAGCTCATCCATCGTCTTTCGCCGCTTTTCCGCCACAATCTCATTTGGCGTATTGGTGCGCTGACCGTCGCTGTTGTATTCAGGCTCCACCGGGATATTTATAAAGTAGTCTTCGCACTGCTTCGTCTCAAGAAAGCGGTTGAGGTCAATCGAGAGCACGCGAAGAAGAAACGCCTTGAGGAACTGTCCCTCATCGTAAAGCAGTAACTCAGGGGGAATATAGTTGGGTATGAGCAAGTTTGTGTACCGCTCCTTGCTCCAGCGCGAGGGTTGCGGTTGCGCCTCCATCCTTTGCAACAACCCAGCTACAACAAAAGTCAAGCACACACAAGAACAAACAAACGAGGCAAAAGTGGCAATATCACAGAGACGTATATTGTGGAGAATGACACAACAATGGAAGTCCCCCTCCCTTCCCTCCAATATATACACCCACACCACCTGCACTGAGAGAGAGAGAGAGAGAAAGAAAAAAAAAAGGAGAAAAGAAATGGCCTGCAGCTGCAACTGCTCCTTCCTTCCTCATCAATCGTGCCGAGGAAGAAACACTATTTTTTTTTTTTTTGGTTGTTGCTGCTGCTGTTTCTCATATCCCTCTCCAATTACGGTTTTGTGAAGTACACCGCATTAACGTCAACTGGTTGAAGCTGCAGCAACGTGTGTGAACTGTTCATCGACTGGGATTGAATAAACTCATCCACAGCTTTTCGACACCCGTCCCAGTAGTTGTAGTCATCCACCTGCACCACGCCTCCCTTCACCACAAACGGCCACAAAAGTTCTAGGGCACACCTTGTCGATTCATACCAATCTGCATCCACATGCATCATGACGATGCCCTCGGTACGAATCTCCTTGAGAACCTGCGGAATAGTTTCCTGAAACATACCTGGGAAAATCACCAAATGCTCCTCAACATCAAAGTTTTTGGCGAGTCGTCGAACATTTTCCTGGAGGGCGCTGCACGTTCCACTCCCCCATGAAGTTGCTTCCGCGGAGGTGCAGACGCCTTTCAAAACGTCAGACGCAGTAGGCTCGGGCATACCGTCAAAGGTATCTAAGGCGTACACCTTTCGTGGATGTCTACTGTAGTGTGCCGCCACTACTGCGAGTAGCACCGCTGAGCCCCCACCAGCGACGCCGCACTCCATCAGAACACCTCCCTGATTTCTGCAGCATAACTCTTTTGTCGAAAGATACAACCCATACAGCCGTGTCCATGTGAGCATGGTGTGGTCCAGGAGAGCATCACAGAGTAAACCAAAGAGGGGTTCACGTTTTATAACTTCCGCAGGTGGGAGTAGGGATGAACGCACCCTAGCATTGACATCATACAGTAGCATACGCGCCGCAGTATTCTCAGGAAATTGGCGCAGCTCTTCTAGTAGAGCCTGTCGAGCGTGCAACATATCATCTTTTCCCACCAAGAAGCACAAGGCACGGCAATAATCCAAGTCTTTGACGCGTTTCCGTAAACGCTTTTTTTCGTTCAGCTCCAAGAGTGTCTCTGCGTGCTTCCCTGCTTTGAGAGCAGCCGCCACCTCGGCAACATTGCGGCGCCAGCCGCACCTGCAGAACATTCCGCGCCTAACCTTTCCCACGATCGCAGCAGACGCAGAAACAAAATAATAAAAATTATGATCAAAAACAACCATCAGCAAAGGAGAGCATTCAAACCCCAGTTATCAGCAATAGGGCCCCAACATGAAAGATAATCAGCAATCCAATGAGCAGGAGACTCTACCGTGCAGGAAGAAAGGAGAGAAAGAGAGAGAGAGAGAGGGCAATAGGTTGGATGAGGGCGGAAGTGACGTCAAGAGCGACCCACTTCACACCTAGAAGCACGGCGATTGACATCTTCACACAATGAAAGTCCAACAGACACCCACACGCATGAAGGCACGCCCTCAAGAAAATAATAATAATAATGAATATGAGAGACAGTGGGTCAGTGCGATGTGCCAAAGGATTTACGTCAGCAAATGCCAAAAGCAATAGTATTTTTCTTCTTCTCTGGTACTTGCCATCTTTGTGCACAAAACTAACTGAGACAACAATCAACATGGCTATGACATTGCCATAAAATATGAACTAGCAACAACTTATACATACAAGGAGAGAAAGAGAGGAACACGCCAAAACAAGCAACCACTTATTTTTTGTTGTTGCTTTTTTTTCGTGTTGATGTGGTCTAAGAATGCTTCCGAGGCTGAATCATAAGTGTACAACTTGTCAAAAGACCTAACTCCCGCAGCGTCTTACTGTCGTCCGTATAAGTTACGGCGGGAAAAGACAAGCGTACATCATATGCTGCATTAAAGGTCGGCACTGCTGACTTGAGCTCCCGACGAAGGTCCGCTATGGTATTTTCCGGTGCCAGGTGTAATGTAACCTTTATGCCGGATGGAAATCGCACAAGCACTGCAACAAGCCCCTGGATGCGACGGGGCGGTGACACCGCCGCGTCACCACTCTTAGGTTCAATTGTCGTATTCTCTCCTATTACTCGTCGCTCAGATTCAGAAACATGTCTTAAGGTTTCATTTTTGGGGGGGTAACCAACAATGTTTGCAATCGCTTCTCGTACAGAGACAATCCGGCCGTTCGTCGTGATGCGTGTGTCCGGCAGTCGCTTAAGAAACTCCTCTTTGGACACAGGTTGGTGGTGTTTTCCACCCTGCACATCCCGCAGCTCCTTGACATTACTACCACCCTTCTTCCCTTCCTTTCCTTTGCCGCAGCAAACAGATGTTTGATCAATAACCTCAATAGGAAACCCGTCAGGAAAACGTTGCTTAAACTCATACGGGTAGAACCCTTCGGCGAGATCGTCTAACACGGCATCACATAGCGGCCAGCCAAATGGTCTAAACGGGCCACCGTTAACGCAAATGCCGTCTTGATATACAGTGATACGCACCACTTCAAGTTCTTTTATTCCACCCTGCTTGCCATTTGTGACGACGCCCCTACAACCCACATGATCTGAAAGAATCTTTGCATGTCTCTGAAGAACCTCTATGGAAACAGGTAATGTAGCGGCTCGATTTGTCTTGCAAGAAATCTTTTCACCGTCGGGGGGAAGTTTTTGCGTGGATGTGTCATCTGTTCCACTCGCACGCGGCGTCGGACTAGGGGAAAGCACTGGTGTCTCGTTGTTATAATCCCCTGCATAGAGCTCAAAGGGCTGCGACGTGGCGGGTTGCGACGACAATGAATTTCTTTCCTTCGCAAATGCGAAATGCTCGTGCCCTCGCGAATTGGTACGCTTTTCTTTATTTTTTTCTTCCGCCCTGTCACCTACCCACTTCAGCCCATAATCAGCTAGAAACGTCTGCATATCCCCTACCAGCCGTTCCAACTCCTGCTTCTCGTCGTAAAGCTCTACGAGCATCGCCTCCACCCCTTCTCGCTTTGTCTTTTCTTCTCTATAGTTTGCCTCTGCGCACGAAAGTTTCTCCGTTTTTTCTTTTAGTTCCATACGGTATGCTTTTTGCTGCTCCTCCAGGGTCTTCAGTCGTTGTGCCATGACACCTAAAAGGTCACCTCTGCCGTTTGACACCTGATCACGAAGGTTTGCTGGATAGTTCCCTTCGTGATTATGTCGTTTCAGTGGCGCCGGCATCCCAGGCAATGGGCGATGCTCGCCTGTCACTGCTACACTCCCCATGATATCGCGTACAATTCGTTGCCGCACTTCGTCGTCAAGCACATCCGGCTTGAGGATGTTTGAAAGTTGCTGCGTTGCGGGAAGTCGGAACTTCTGCAACGGCACCTCCGCCTTCTTGTCGTTGCCGGGCATCTTCAACAAGGCACCGCAGGCTGGGCTATCGATGAATGCGAAGAATAGGTTGAGAAAAAAAAGGGAGTAAAAAACAGACAGCGGCATCGTACAATCTTTGTTTCCAGACTTGAAAGGGACGAAGCTGTAAAATTAATGTCACACCTCCCACAGAAATGGTGCGGGCCATTCACCCCGCCCGCACACCAAAAAAAAAAAAAAAACAAAAACGGAGAGAAAGGAAAAGAGAATCAGCAACAGCAACAAAGTGTTCCGCCTATTTTATCAAACAACCACACATGGGATGGGATTCACACCCAGCCGTTCTATACGTTGCTCCCACTCGCATACAACCGACGCCGACACGGCAATTTCATACAAACACAACTGTCGCACCTCCGTAATCGTCCACTCTCGCAACGAGCTGCCTCTTGGCCCTGGGTGACAGTAAAAACGGACTATGGTCTCCCACACATCCCTACGTGCCCCTCCCTGCACACTTGATTTTAGTTTTGCAGCTCGTGCAGTCGACGCATTCGCTTGCCCTAGGTCACAGGCACGATCGGTTGGATAAAGGAGCTCCCAGGCCTGCCGTTCCACTCCCCAGCGCGGCTTTGTGAGACGCGTGTTGTACTCTCCAATGACAAAACTCCACTTGTCAAATCTGCGGTCACGTCCCATCTTTTCGCCCGTGCTGCGATATCGTTGTACCAGTTTTTCAACAACCCCTGGCAGTTCTGACTGGGAGACGCCGTAGAGGGCCGCCACAGCGGTCCTGTTCACTTTTCGAATTAACCCCTGTGGACAAAACAAGTACCACTCAGAGACTCCAGTGAGTGTTCCCTCACCATCCCCAAACACGCAACCATCGCTTTGAGTTGCACCCTTCAGCCACTTCCAGACAGCCATCCGCATTTTCTCCTGATGACGTTTCGCATAGTCTTTTTCAAGTAAATCCACTGTTGCTGCAGTGTGTGGAAGGGGCAAGCGGCAGTGCAACAGCTGTCCTCCGTTTCCCTCCTCCTCCAGTGTCTTACGGTTCATCACATTTCGTTCCACCACAGTCCAGTTGGAAGAAAGCTGTACAAAATAGGGGGAAATTTGAAGGAATGCGCCCTCCGGTGCCTTGCGAAGAGTCTCCGCCGCCTCGTCGTCTAGCACAACCACGGTGAAGGCGTTGGGCCCCGTTGCCGCTGCAAACTCAGAGAGAAGAAGCAGCTGAACCAGGAGGCACAGACAAGTCAGAGGCTGCAATAAAACCATGTCTAAAGTGCATCTACACTCCGCCGTACACCTTTTCCTTCTCCGCCCGTGACCTATATATATATATATATATATATTTGTTTTGTCGACAAAAATCAATAAAAAAGACAATCAAATATATTTTTGTCTCTTTTTTTTTTTGTTTCAAGCCAAAAATAAAAACTATTTACAAATACAAATAATAATAATAAATACTAGTTTGATGATAATATCAAAATACGCCCACACACTGAGAGAAAGAGAAAAACAATAACAACAATAATAGTAAAACATCATACCCATGACGCTTTGCAAACGCTTACATATAAAAACAAGTATCAGAATTACATCCAAACAATATATATATATATAGTGGGGCAAGCAAGAAAACAAGTGGTATACACACTGAGACGCAGATACATGCATAGATAGGTCCACATTCGTCCGCGTCCGTTCCTCATTTCAATACAATTCTTATATTGTGTCGTGAAGCCGTTGTGTGTGTGCGTGTGGGGGGGGGGGGAATGGGCCTTGCTGGGTGTTACGGCGTACCAAGGTAAGGTGTCGCACCATTGACGGGTCCCAAAACCACTTTGGCAAGGCAACGCCTGCGTGGTCGCCAATGGCTTGTACAACCCCTGGGACTGCGCTTCGACTGTGGCTGAAAGCTTCCACCCGTCTACAAAGCCCGGGACACACTGCCACAGATGGTGGCGTGCCGGACTCTCTCTCTTAAAGAGTCACCGCCCCGTAGGCTCAGAGGGACTCGAGGTTCGCCGGCATGCTAGACGCCCCCCATTGGGCCGTCTCAAAAAGGCCCAAACTCATTACTTTGCCTCGGCCCGCCCATGTAACGTGCTTGCCATCCGTCACGAAAAGTAACGCCATTCGCGCCATCGCTCAGGTTGGGGTCAGGCAATAAACAAAATTCAAATATTGAACCACGCCGTACAGTATACAAAACTGCAAAGTAACTGAGGTGCCCTTCAAAACATTACGCTTTGTGAGAAACTACACAAAATGATAAGGCTGAGTAAAGAAGAAATCATGTAATATTATACAGGGCACGCAAAGACTCACCAGTCCTTTCGCACGTTTGCAGGAGAAGCAAACGCGCATCGCCCCAAGTTCTTTTTCTCCCCACTCACCCCAAACTACAAGCTCCCTCCCAGAGGCACACTCAGCAGACTGAGGATAACGCCTGTGTAACGGTTGCGTCCAGCATGTTTAAACATCGAAAAACATTGCTCAGCCTTCGCATGAATTGTTCCCGCTGCAACTCGCTCAACTCACGCAGTTCCTCCCACAGCTGAATATCAGCCACCAAGAGTCGCTTCATTAGACGTGATGTTGTTTCCAAAGATGTGGCGTTCCGATTCGTCGACGAAATGTTAGCCCACTCAAAAAGTGCGTCAGCAATACACATGATGTCTTTTAAAGACAGAACATGAGCTGACTCCTTACCACTCTTTGGGACAGCTACCGACTCGGCTCGTTCCACACGCTCAGCTATTGCCGCACTAACGGCACTAAAAACCGTATCTGTCACGTACGTTACCATTATTAACTCCGACTTTGCCACAGAGTCGCTTACTTCTCTTCTCTGTTGATTATGATACCTGTGGGGGCGAGAACGATGCTTCAGGCTATCAAGCTGATCGCTGGGTGTGTTCCGAGTCATTTGATACCGCTCCGTTACTAGAGGCCAGAGTATACTAAGCGTGAGAAGAAGACCTGGTAAGTCACTCGGTTGAAGCATTGTGTCGCAGCTGCTGGACGAGGCACGTGCCCCTGCCACCCAAATACTCTCTACAACAAAAAGGGCTGCTGTAATGAAACAGCCTTGCACTTCAATTCCCTGCCGCTTTGTATCGCGCGCCGCACGGACCAATAAATCAAACAGGGTCATAAGGGAGTGTGCAGGAAGTTCATCTGCGAGTTGTCCAACGCTGCGACTATTGACCTCGTCAAGATGCTTGATTCGAAGTGCCGCCTGTATTTGTCGCTGCTGCAGCCGTGCCCGCGTTCGAACAGAGTTCAAAAGAGCAGACTCCATTCCATGTTTGCCGTGCTCGTAATACAACTTGATCCTTTGGCCCCTTGTAGCAAAGGCAAAAAGTGAGTTTTGTCTGGACTTCTCCAAAAGCGCCCTCTGCGTACCCGTAGACAACTGTGGAAATACGCACACCACAAGCTTCAAGAGTAGCTGTTGCGACGCATACTCTTCGGTTTGAAGAAGTTTCATCGACTCCAGGCCCAACAATAGCCGTCCCGCCTTGACAGGCGGGATACCCAACGACGCCCCCCCCGCCAGCTGCGCAAGAAGAGCACACTTGGCCTCTTCACCACAGTTCAGCATCGCATCCTCAAGGCGGCGTAGCGTTTGGTGCATAATGATCTCTCCCGGTCTTTCATAAGTGCGCAATGCCAAAAGTGAAGACGCGGTTGCCTGAAGGACTGAAAGAAGCTCAAATAGCTCATGCACCTCTCCACAACGGGAGACGATGGCAGTCGTGTTTAGTAACGGCAAGACGTGGGAGCACATCGCCAGAGTCTCCAACACCAATGGAACCACGTCAGAGGAGGAGGGTGGTAACCACCGCAGTTGCGGAATCGTAGTTGTTAGGTCAGCTTTAGAATTGGTTTCATACACCGTTGCTTCAACCGTCTCTTGAGGAGCGCTTGGCAGAGATGGTTCTTCTGCCCCATTTTTCCACATCATTTCCATCATCATCGCCATCATCGTATCGTGGTTGTCCAAATTTAAGCTGACGGGTTCCTTCATGGAGCCTGGTGTAGTTGAACCCTTTTCATCCTTCAAACCGACTCGAGCCACGTTCCTGCGCCTCATCCTCCGTGACGGAAGAGATGCCACAAACCTCGGTGCACGTGCATTCAGCACACGTCCCCTAAAAACATCCCGCAGGGCACCAAAGCTGAGACGGGCAAGGGACAGAAGCATCATAACCACGGATGGTGCAGTGGAAGCGCTACTGTTATCATGCCGCTGCCCGGAATCCCGCACCGCTGCTACCCATACGTCTTCACACAACAAAAACCGCCACAACCTTGCGGAAATGTATGGACGCGAAAGGAGAGAGCTTTGAAGAAGCAGAATATCAGCTTTTGCGTTGGTCACAGCTTCTCTGGCGGCCTTTAGCGCAAACGTGGCATCCCGTCTCTTCTGCAGGATGTGTAGCGCCTGCTCGGCTTTCTGCAGCTTGGATTCTAACCGATCCATGTGGTGGCGGTAAAGTTTCCGCCGCTCCTGTTCCACAAAATGCAGTGAGGAAAGCAAACTCAAGGTGTACTCTGGTCGGCGAAGCACACGTCCCCGAGACGAAAGCGCTGTGGATGCCGCGAAGGTGGTTCCCCGTTCTGCTACCGCCTTTCCACTCCCAGAAAGGGCCACTCCCACGTCGTCACAAGACTGTGATGGTGGTGGAACAATTTCCGTGGACCCCGTAGTCGATGACTGTGCTTCATGACGTTCCACCGCTTTCTCTGCAGTGGACCTTTTTCGACGCACAACAGGGATAAGGCTGCGTTCCAGTAGGGAAAGTGCCACCGGCACTTGACGAAAGAGTAACTTGTCCTTCACTCCAGCGCTTCTTCGCAGCCCCTCGCGCAGCTTAACGTCCACAACAGAATGCAAAGAAGAAGTGGAGTGCCGTATGGCCTCCTCCCTCACGAGACGACGAAGCTGCATCTCTACACGCCGGAGAGCAGTAATACGCTGTGAGACAATCATGATTTGCTCTTCGGTGAGGCCTCACTCTAAGCCGCCTTTCCCTAATCCTAGTCTTCTCGCCTCACCCCTGCTTTTGCTCGAAAGGGCACATGCCAAAAAAGCACGACAAAAAAGCGCAAAAAAGCAGTAATAACACAGACACACACACAAAAAAAAAAAAAAGACTGCGCCATCAATAAAATCAGCAGACACAAGCAGAAAAGCATGGCAAAAAAAAAACATACAAACACAATAACAAGAACGGCACACATGTGTTGTTCAAATGAGGGCACCATAAAAAAAGCTTAGCACATAAAACGCGCAAAAAATGTCTTTTTTATTGATACCTCCCCACTTCACCGAACAATCGCACATTCACAGGCGGCTTCGTGTTGCCATCAACGGCGAGATTAACTGCGGAGTCAAAAGGATGGTGTGTGGGGTGGAAAGCGCGCGTGGATCCAATGGCTACATCGCCACCACACAGTCATTTCCAGAACACAGAAAGCAATAATGATAATGATAATTAAAAAAAAAACCTCAGGGAGAGGGGAGAAGAAAAGCACAAGAAACTGACGGTGGACGCAACATGACAAATTAGAAGGATATTGCAATTGATAAAAAAAAAAAAATCAAAAAAGCCGAAGCATAACTCCCGAATGAAAATGGGCCAGTGCGCGAAAAGACAGCATTTCTTCATTCGCGTCACATTTCCCTTCCTTTTTCGTCTTCCTGCCTTCTTTTGGGCGTTTGTCACATTTTTTTTTCTCCCCTCCCCCCCTTTTTTTTTACCGTAAACCTAAAAGAGATTGGGCCAAGCCAACAAACTACTTCTGCTTAACTAAAAGGAAATAAAAATTGACTCCTCAGTAGCAGTACACACATTTAAAACCTTTTTTTTTTGCGTATATAGTGGTTTTTGCCCATCAACTCCTCGACCAGAAAACTTTTTTTTCTTCCTTTTTCACACACAAAAAAAAAAAGATGACCTCTCCCTCATCCCATCTCATCCCTCACAGACACAGACACAGGCACACACATTATATATATATATATAAATGCGTACCTTAACTCTCCCTCCCCCCCCCCCAACTACATTCCAAAGCAAAAAAAAGAAGAAAGACACAGTAAAGCGTAATCGCAGTTTGGCTCAGTGCACCCAAGATTCCAATTCAACATGTATCCCACGCACTTATCAACAGCAAACAAATAAACTCAAAAGACATCTTGTGATTACTGCGTTCGCTTTGAAATTACGAAGCAGCAGTCCACAGAGCTTGCAACTGCAGGAACCCTCTAGATGGAGGGCATTAATAGGAAAAAGTTAGGGCGAGGATCGCACAAAGCAAAAATAACTGTACTCGCGTCGCCTCCCAAGGCGACATCATTGGAACCAAAAACAAATTAATCAATGAGAAAACACGGGAGTTCAACAAGCGACGTTATCATTCATCCTGCCCCGTCCAGGCCCACGTTCCTTCCTCAAGCTTCTAATAAATGGTAGTGCGTCTATGTGCGTATTTTCTCACCATTTATGGTGTGTACACGAGAGGAACGTCTTTCTTGTTGCTTTAAAAAAAATCATCCCTTTACATCCATTATTCTTCTTTTCCCCCTCATTTTTCTACGTTCACCGACGCTTCCTACTAACTGCCACCTCATGTAGCATACATAAAAACATTCACATTCCAGACAGATGTACTTCCCTCGCCCGCTGCAAATTCCATAACAAGTACCATTTCATAGTAATATTTTTTTTCTTCGATTTTTGTTTTCGCATCCTACATTCTTCCATCCATACCTGGTGTCACGTGCGAAGGACCAAGATACGGTGGCGGAGCTGGCCATCCCCAACCAATCGGGGGCATACATGCCACACCGTACAACGCAGCCATATTAACCCCAGGCATCATCCCTGGCTGTCTTGGTGGGACAGGTGGCGGGAGACCAAACATGGGCATAACAGGTGGAGCGGCAGCCTGGGCCATTGCCACCTCCACAAAGGAACGCTGCGCAGGCGGGGTATGATGCGTTGACGGCGGTGTTCGAGAGCATGCCCGTGCACCATCGTTCTCTTGCGACTTCACCAATCTGGCGTAAATATCGTTAAACACCCCGTGTGTAATATCCCGTGTCACCTCGAGGGAGGCAGGACATTCCACAGAGAAGAGAACCTCAACTGCAGATCCGCGCAAAAGTGTTGCAAGTTGCTGAATAAAAGAGTAAAGCTCGCTTGGAACTACACTAGCACATGGTTCCGAGCAAAAAACAGTAATACGTTTAAAATCTACCTGGTACTCCACACCAGACACCATCAACGAGTATCCGCGTTCACGAATCAGTCGCTGGCACACATTATAGGCCTCCGTATCGCGACGGCGAGCATAGTATACACGCTTCTTACCCTTGTTCATTCCTCGACAAATAACACGTGGAAGTCGCAGTAACTTCTCCTTATTGGTCCCAGGTTCTACAACCTCAAGTGGTCTTGAGGCATCCTCTGGGTAAAGCACTTCCAGCGGTAGTTGGGCAAGATGACTTTGAAGCGACAATTGATCCCTCATACATGATGTGAGGTCCCCCACAACACGACCCATATTTTCTCCCGAGTGACTTTCCACAGACACAAGATCCCCAATAGCAAAGGTCCCACATTCACTCCGTGGTACATAAAACACGCCGTACAACTGTTTAAATTTTACAAGAACATGCGTCATGGTAGAACCTTGCGTATCGGCTTCACCTTCATCCCTCTCTGATGTTACAGCCTTTTCGCATTCTGCAGCCTCTCGATTTTGGTGAGGAGCATCTCTTTGACTGAACAAGCTAAAAGATTGCTGATGACCCAGTGGTGCAGTTTCAAATACAGAGTCTGTGCAGGATTTATTCTTGCCGATGGGTGTGACACATCCCTTGCTTTCACTTGCCCCCTCAATTTCTTTTTCTGCGTTATTTCCGCGCGCCTCCACTTCGCTCCGGTCCCACGCTGCAAGGGAGCGTACATGTCTCCCAGGATGCTGCTCTCTTGACTCGACAGTGCCAACAATGCATTCTGAGGAGACACGACCAAGGCACAGATATTCCCTTGTGGGATCCGCGGTAAAAGCCAATTCATTGCTCACTTCCTTCCACGCGGTTGAGTCCCATGAAAATTGTTCGTGACTGCTCATTCGTGAATGTGTTGCCGACCGTCCACTGCCATTATGTACTGAGAAGCTACCCTGGGAGCAAGAATGGTGTCGTCGGTAACGAGGATGAACTGTCAGGGAACTAACGTATACCGTATCCTCTGGTTCCTGCTTACCCCCCCTTGACGTAGGTGCACATGTTTGTAATATCGGCGGTGACTGCCTGACATCCCGCACACCGTAGTGCAAGACATGCGCTGAAGCCCCTTGTGACGCGTTGTCAGCCATCGTACTTGCAAGTGCAGACGTGACATTGTTCGTATGTTTTAAACTGCTGTCTTCGTCAACGGTGGTCTGCAATAACTCCGCCTGTTCATCACAGGCGGTGAGCACAGCATTCTTATCCTTCTCTTCTTCCATAGGTCGCCGGGCGCTTGCAGTGCCCGCGTATGCACCTCTCTCCCCGCTTCTTTACCTCGCTCTACCAGCCCCTGATATCTACCTTTGCGCCGTTCCAGCACAACCTTCTCCTTTTCCTTCCCACTCTCTCACTTCACCGTTGCACACGCACACTCACGCGCACAAAAAAAAAGGCCAACACCAGCAACAGCAATATAATATATATATATATATATATATATATATATATATATAT